AGTTTCCAAAGGTCTAGATCTTTTCCCACCAAAGAATGCAAACTACAACTCCCAGAGTCCCACAGCATTGAGCCATAGCAAAGTGTCATCAAACTGCTATGGTTCCAGGCTGCTGAATCTTGGGAGCTGTAGTTTCCCAAGGTTTTGGTCTTTCTTCACCAAAGAGTGCAAACTACAACGACCGAATCCTGGGAGCTGTAGTTTCCCAAGGTCTTTGTAGTTTGATCTCATCAAAGAGTGCAAAGTACAAAGGGAATTAAAATGAAAAGGGAATTAAAATGAACCATAGCATCGAGCCGCAGCAAGGTGGAGCCAAACTGCATTTGTTCTACAGCGCAGACACACCCTTAGTCAAACTACAACTCCCAAGATCCCATAGTATTGAGTTGGGGAAGTTCAAGTGGGGCCAAACTGCGTTAATTTGACAGCGTAGTTGCGCTCAAGGCCTCCACTTGCCGCTCCGAGCACATCTGATCTCGTTGCCTGCGCACTAGATCTCCCAGGCGTCACCTTGCGAAGCCGTGTTGTTTAGTCAACTCGTCCAAAGTTGGTTTAAGGCTCCGGAGTTGCCCCTGGCAATGACATTTACGGGGAGGGAAACCAGGAGGCGCACGCAAGTCTCTCTGCATGTGTGTGTTATTTATTTTCGTTGCACCATCTTTGGAAAATACAAAAACGACAAGCATGCGTCCTTCCCGCCCCCTCCCCAACATCACCCCCCCCCAACCACAAAAACACCTGAAAATGTCACAATCTCATAAAGGTCCCCACCCCCCAAAAACCATTCCTTTTCGTCCAGTGCAAAATTCCACCCGGTGTGACTCATCCTAGAAATCCCACCACCTTGAGTCCCTTCCGCATTACACAGTTATACCAGTTTTGTTCCGCTTGAACCGCCTGAGTTTCACAACATGTTGCGTTCTCCGCCCGAGAGAGCCAAACTATAAATCCCAGGATTCCGTGGCAGTGGAATAACAGCCCATAGGGCTATTTTGGGGGTCCTACGAGAGGCCCCCCCCTCTCTCCTTCCATCCAGACAATGATTTGATTGACAGTCAGATCCAAAAAGGGAATCGCGTCTCTTTCCTTACGCATAGCACAATCCTATGGGGACCAATGGATCAAAATGGAGAGACGAGACGTATATCCATATGTCTATTGGTGCAAGATGTTCTCCTTCCAGGTATTCCTTTCCAAGATAGTCCCTTGAAGGGTAATAGAATCATATACGGGACCCCCAAAGGTCATCTAGACCAACCCCGTTCTAATAGTCGGCCCCCACTAATCAAAACACATCCAGACAGAGAAAAGGGAGTCACAAACCCATGTATCCGTAGGTCTAATAATACAAAATGATGTAAGATGTTCTGCTTCCAGATATTCCTTTCCAAGATAGTCCCTTGAAGGGTAATAGAATCATATACGGGACCCCCAAAGGTCATCTAGACCAACCCCATTCTAAAATTTGGTCCCCATGAATTAAAATGAACCTGGAGAGAGAAAATGCATAATAATATAAAATAGTAGAAGATGTTCTGCTTCCAGATATTCCTTTCCAAGATAGTTCCTTGAAGGATAATAGAATCCTACAAGGAACCCCCAAAGGTCATCTAGACCAACCTCATTCTAAAATGTGGCCTCCACTAATCAAAACGGATCCGGAGAGAGAAAAGGGAAGCACAAAACCATGTATCCATAGGTCTAATAATACAAAATGGTGTAAGATGTTCTGTTTCTAGATATTCGTTTCCAAGATAGTCCCTTGAAGGATCATAACATCTTGGAAGGGAGTCCCCAGAGGTCATCTAGAGCAACCCCATTCTAAAATTTGGTCCCCATGAATTAAAATGAACCTGGATAGAGAAAATGTCTAATAATATAAAATGATGTAAGACGTTCTGCTTCCAGATATTCCTTTCCAAGATAGTCCCTTGAAGGATAATAGAATCCTATACGGGACCCCCAAAGGTCATCTAGACCATCCCCGTTCTAATAGTCGGCCCCCACTAATCAAAATGCATCCAGACAGAGAAAAGGGAGGCACAAACCCATGTATCCATAGGTCTGATAATATAAAATTGTATAAGATTGTATAATGCTTCCAGATATTCCTTTTCAAGATAGTCACTGTAAGGATCATAACATCTTGGAAGGGAGCCCCCAAAGGTCATCTAGACCAGCCCTGTTCTAAAATTTGGGCCCTATGGATTATAAAAGAAAAAAGAGAAGCACAAAGCCATATATATCCATGCGTCTAATAATGTGAGATGATGTAAGACGTCTTGCTTCCAGATGTTCCTTCTCAAGAAAGATAATAAAATCTTGGAAGGCAACCCCAAAGGTCATCTAGACCACCCCCATTCTAATATTTGGACCCCGTGAAATAAAACGGATCCGGAGAGAGAAAATGTCTAATAATATAAAATGATGCAAGATGTTCTACTTCCAGATAATTCATTTTCAAGATGATCCCAGACTCCTAGAAGGGTTCTCCAAAGGTCATCTAGACCAGCCCAATTCCACCATGCAAGGAAGGCTCTGCCAAAGCCCTCCTGGAAGAGGCCCATCCAACCTTGTGGATAGGATTCCAAGATTGGAAGATGTTCTGCTTCCAGATAATTTGTTTTCAGGAGGATCCCAGACTCCACGAAGGGCTCTCCAAAGGACATCTAGACCAGCCCCATTCCACCACGCAAGGAAGGTTCTGTCAAAGCCCTCCCAAAAGAGGCCCATCCAACGTCTGTGGATAGGATTCCAAGCTTGGAAGATGTTCTGCTTCCAGATCATTCATTTTCAGGAGGATCCCAGACTCCTAGAAGGGCTCTCCAAAGGTCATCTAGACCAGCCCCTCTGCAAAAGCCCTCCCAAAAGAGGCCCATCCAACCTCTATGGATAGGATTCCAAGATTGGAAGATGTTCTGCTTCCAGATATTCCTTTTCAGGAAGATCCCAGACTCCTAGAGGGGCTCTCCGAAGGTCATCTAGACCAGCCCCATTCCACCATGCAAGGAAGGCACCGCCAAAGCCCTCCTGGAAGAGGCCCAACCAACCTCTGTGGATAGGATTCCAAGATTGGAAGATGTTCTGCTTCTAGATTTGTTTTCAGCATGATCCCAGACTCCTAGAAGGGCTCTCCAAAGGTCATCTAGACCAGCCCCATTCCACCATGCAAGGAAGGCACTGCCAATCCTTCCTGGAAGAGGCCCATCCAACCTCTATGGATAGGATTCCAAGATTTGAAGATGTTCTGCTTCCAGATCATTCCTTTTCAGGTTGATCCCAGACTCCTAGAAGGGCTCTCCAAAGGTCATCTAGACCAGCCCCATTCCACCATGCAAGGAAGGCTCTGCCAAAGCCCTCCTGGAAGAGGCCCATCCAACCTTGTGGATAGGATTCCAAGATTGGAAGATGTTCTGCTTCCAGATAATTTGTTTTCAGGAGGATCCCAGACTCCACGAAGGGCTCTCCAAAGGACATCTAGACCAGCCCCATTCCACCACGCAAGGAAGGTTCTGTCAAAGCCCTCCCAAAAGAGGCCCATCCAACGTCTGTGGATAGGATTCCAAGCTTGGAAGATGTTCTGCTTCCAGATCATTCATTTTCAGGAGGATCCCAGACTCCTAGAAGGGCTCTCCAAAGGTCATCTAGACCAGCCCCTCTGCAAAAGCCCTCCCAAAAGAGGCCCATCCAACCTCTATGGATAGGATTCCAAGATTGGAAGATGTTCTGCTTCCAGATATTCCTTTTCAGGAAGATCCCAGACTCCTAGAGGGGCTCTCCGAAGGTCATCTAGACCAGCCCCATTCCACCATGCAAGGAAGGCACCGCCAAAGCCCTCCTGGAAGAGGCCCAACCAACCTCTGTGGATAGGATTCCAAGATTGGAAGATGTTCTGCTTCTAGATTTGTTTTCAGCATGATCCCAGACTCCTAGAAGGGCTCTCCAAAGGTCATCTAGACCAGCCCCATTCCACCATGCAAGGAAGGCACTGCCAATCCTTCCTGGAAGAGGCCCATCCAACCTCTATGGATAGGATTCCAAGATTTGAAGATGTTCTGCTTCCAGATCATTCCTTTTCAGGTTGATCCCAGACTCCTAGAAGGGCTCTCCAAAGGTCATCTAGACCAGCCCCATTCCACCATGCAAGGAAGGCTCTGCCAAAGCCCTCCTGGAAGAGGCCCATCCAACCTCTATGGATAGGATTCCAAAATTGGAAGATGTTCGGCTTCCAGATAATTTGTTTTCAGGGAGATCCCAGACTCCTAGAAGGGCTCTCCAAAGGTCATCTAGACCAGCCCCATTCCACCATGCAAGGAAGAGGCCCATCCAACCTCTGTAGATAGGGATTCCAAAATTGGAAGTTCTCCTTCCAGATCATTCCTTTTCAGGGAGATCCCAGACTCCTAGAAGAGCTCTCCAAAGGTCATCTAGACCAGCCCCTCTGCCAAAGCCCTCCCAAAAGAGGCTCATCCAACCTCAGTGGAGGAAAGCACTGCCAAAGCCCACCCAGAAGAGGTCCTTCCAACCTCCATCAAAAGGATTCCAAAGATGGACCCTGACTGTCAGCCAAATCGGGTCTCGAACCCGTTTACGTGGATTTTAGTGCAAATGTGGACAGATAAAATTACCCGACGGCAAGGAGAGCAAAGGGAGGCCCCTTCCCCGCAATTTCCCGGTCAGCTGCCGTTCCTCGTTCTACCCGCCTTATTCCTCGACATTCTCGGCCTGTGCAACCTTCCGCCTTTAAATATAGATATATTTTTTAATAGAGATAGATCTGGATAATATATATATTGTGATCGCTCTTCATATAGAGACCTCTGCAAAATATACCTCTCTTGCTTCGCCACCTGACTCGTCCTCCTTTTCCGTCTGCCCTCGAGTGCCCCTTCCCCATCCCGCAAACCTCCAAAAATGTGTTTAATAGGATCCAAGGCCCGCCCCCAAACCCCATCCACCCCAATGACCCCCAACGCCCCCCAACTGCACCGCTGCCCCCCCCCCACATTCCCCTTTTTCTCTATCCGAGGCGCCACTGGAGGATGCTGGTGTCCGTCCCGCCGGTGGAGAGGAGCAGGCTGTCGTCGTGGAGGAAGGCAATGTTGGTGACGTGGCTGCTGTGGCCACTGTAGGTGTAGCTGGGCGCCTGGAAGGAAAACCGAATGATATAAGAGTTGAAGGGGACCTCCAAAGGTCATCTAATCCAACCCCTAAGGGGACCCCACTGGACCCCCAGGTCAGTCAATATTCCACTATAGTTGGAAGGGAACCCCAAAGATCATCCAGTCCAACCCCTAAGGAGACTCCACTTGACCTCCAGTCTACGTTCCACTATAGTTGGAAGGGAACCCCAAAGGTCATCCAGTCCAACCTCCAAGGAGACTCCACTGGACCTCCAGGGAACCCCGAAGGTCATCCAGTCCAACCCCTAAGGAGACTCCACTGGACCCCCAGGTCAGTCAATATTCCACTATAGTTGGAAGGGAACCTCAAAGGTCATCCAGTCCAACCCCTAAGGAGACTCCAATGGACCCCCAAGTTAGTCCATATTACACTACAGTTGGAAGGGAACCCCAAAGGTCATCCAGTCCAACCCCTAAGGGGACTCCACTGGACCTCCAGGGAACCCCAAAGGTCATCCAGTCCAACCCCTAAGGAGACTCCACTGGACCTCCAGTAAGTCCATATTCCGCTACAGTTGGAAGGGAATCCCAAAAGTCATCCAGTCCAACCCCTAAGGAGACTCCAATGGACCTCCAGTCAGTCTATATTCCACTACAGTTGGAAGGTAACCCCAAAGGTCATCCAGTCCAACCCCTAAGGAGACTCCATTGGAACTCCAGTCAGTCTATATTCCACTACAGCTGGAAGGGAACCCCAAAGTTCACCCAGTCCAACCCCTAAGGGGACTCCAATGGACCTCCAGTCAGTCTATATTCCACTAGATTTGGAAGGGACCCCCAATTGCTATCCAGTCCAACTCTGTTCTGTCATGTAGGAAAGCACCATCCAAACCCTCCTGACAGATGGCCAGCCAACCTCTGTTGGATCACACAATACTAAAGTTGGATAGGATCCCAAGTGCCACCCAGTCCCACCCCATTCTGCCACGCAGGAAGACACAATCCGATCCCTCCCGACAGATGGCCATACAATCTCTGTTGGATCATAGAATGCTAAAGTTGGAAGAGACCCCAAAGGCCATCTAGTCTGACTCCCTTTTGCCAGACAAGAAGACATAATCCGATCCCTCCAATAGATGGCCATACAATCTTTGTTGGATCGTGGAATCCTAAAGTTGGAATAGACCCCAAAGGCCATCTAGTCTGACCCCCTTTTGCCAAGCTGGAAGACCCCTCCTGACAGATGACCATCCGGTCATAATCCGACCCCTCCTGACAGATGACCATCCGGTCAGAGAAGGGGATTCCAACAGACTTGAAGTCTGTTGGAATCCCCTTCTCTGACCGGATGGTCATCCATCAGAAGTATATCTTTCACTAGAGTTGAGCGGGATCTCCCAAAGGCCATCCAGTCAACCCCCTTCTGTTAGGCAGGAAAACACCTTCCAAACCCTCCTAACAGATGGCCAACCAGCTTCTGCTTTAAAAAAAACCCAGAGATGGGGACTCTGCTACAACTAGAGTTGGAAGAGACATTATATATCCCTTTTAGAGTTGGAAAGGGACCCCCAAAGGCCATCCAGTCCAACCCCCAGGTAGCAGAAGGAGCTTTGGAGGAGAGATTCAGGCCCAAAACTCACCCGTGGCTGGCAGCAGGGATAGGAGAACAAATGCACTTTGCCGAAGTCGTCCGCCGACGCCAAGAGCTTCCCGTCGTGCGAACGGCAGACCGCGTTGATGTCCGTGCCGTCTGCGCCTTCCGGCCAGATCCCTGGAAGGACAGAGTTGCAAAGGGGCAATGCAGTGCCCCATCTTCATCTCTTTCCTCCCATCCCTGCAAACGAGGGGACCTTCTAGATGCCCTCAAGGTGCCTATGCAAGACTAAATCCAGAATATGATTCCATCCAAGCCTCGCAACGGCCATATCGTTGCCACGTGCGGGTGTTTTCGTTAAAACACAACGGTTTGCGAATGTTGACAAAACGTTGGGTTTTTGATAAGAGCTTCGGGAGGTAATTATTACCTTGGAAAGCAAGAGAGGAATCGGAAAACAGGAGCCAGCATGGTTCGAATCATAGAATCTGAGAGTCCTTGAATGGACTCCCATCCAGTCAGGGAGGCACAATCAAAGCCCTCCTGACAGATGGCCATCCAGCTGGCATTGAAAAGCATCAAGAGAAGGAAAGTATTGCAATTTCAGGTTCTAAATACTTCACTGGAATTGAATGGGACTCCTAAAGGCCATCCAATCCAACCCCTTCTTCCACGCAGGAAGACACAATCTAAGCTTTCCCAACAGATGGCCATCCAGCTGCCATTTTTAACCCTCCAGAAAAGAAGACTCCACTTGAAATCCCTAGCAGTGGAGTTGGAAGGTACTCCTAAAGGCCATCCAGTCCAACTCCTTTCTTCCATGTAGAACAACACCATCAAAGCCCTCCTGGCAGATGGCCATCCAGCTGCCATTAAAAAGCCTCCAGAGAAGGAAAGTATTGAAATCTCAGGATGTCAATATTTCACTAAAGGCCATCCAGTCCAACCCCTTCTTCCATGCAAGAAGACACAATCCAAGCTCTCCTGACAGATGGCCATCCAGCCACCATTAAAAAACCTCCAGAGAAGGAAAATATTGAAATCCAGGGTCAATATTTCACTGGAGTTGAATAGGAACCCTAAAGGCCATCCAGTCCAACCCCTTCTTCCACACAGGAAGACACAATCCAAGCTTTCCCAACAGATGGCCATCCAGCTGCCATTAAAAAACCTCCAGAGAAGGAAAGTATTGGAATCTTAGGTTGTTAATATTTCACTGGAGTCGAATTGGACCCCTAAAGGCCATCCAGTTCAACCCCTTCTTCCACGCAGGAAGACACAATCCAAGYCCTCCTGACAGATGGCCATCCAGCTGCCATTTTTAACCCTCCAGAAAAGAAGACTCCACCTGAAATCCCTAGCAGTGGAGTTGGAAGGGACCCCTAAAGGYCATCCAGTCTAACCCCTACTTCCATGTAGAAAGACACCATCAAAGCTCTCCCGACAGATGGCCATCCAGCTGCCATTAAAAAGCCTCCAGAGAAGGAAAGTATTGAAATCTCAGGATGTCAATATTTCACTAAAGGCCATCCAGTCCAACCCCTTCTTCCATGCAAGAAGACACAATCCAAGCTCTCCTGACAGATGGCCATCCAGCCACCATTAAAAAACCTCCAGAGAAGGAAAATATTGAAATCCAGGGTCAATATTTCACTGGAGTTGAATAGGAACCCTAAAGGCCATCCAGTCCAACCCCTTCTTCCACACAGGAAGACACAAGCCAAGCTTTCCCAACAGATGRTCATCCAGCCACCATTAAAAAACCTCCAGAGAAGGAACGTATTGGAATCTCAGGATGTTAATATTTCACTGGAGTTGAATGGGACCCCTAAAGGCCATCCAGTCTAACCCCTTCTTCCACGCAGGAAGACACAATTCAAGCTCTCCTGACAGATGGCTATCTAGCCGCCATTAAAAAACCTCCAGAGAAGGCAAGTATTGAAATCTCAGGATGTCAATATTTCACTAAAGGCATCCAGTCTAACCCCTTCTTCCACGCAGGAACACAATCTAAGCTTTCCCAACAGATGGCCATCCAGCTGCCATTTTTAACCCTCCAGAAAAGAAGACTCCACCTGAAATCCCTAGCAGTGGAGTTGGAAGGTACTCCTAAAGGCCATCCAGTCCAACTCCTTTCTTCCATGTAGAAAAACACCATCAAAACCCTCCTGACAGATGGCCATCTCAGGTTGTCAGAAATCTCAGGTTGTTAATATTTCACTGGAGTTGAATGGGACCCCTAAAGATCATCCAGTCCAACCCCTTCTTCCATGCAGGAAGACACAATCCAAGCTCTCCCGACAGATGGCCATCCAGCTGCCATTTTTAAACCTCCAGAGAAGAAGAATCCACCTGAAATCCCTAGCAGTGGAGTTGGAAGGTACTCCTAAAGGCCATCCAGTCCAACTCCTTTCTTCCATGTAGAAAGACACCATCAAAGCTCTCCTGACAGATGGCCATCCAGCTGCCAATAAAAAACCTCCAGAGTAGGAAAGTATTGGAATCTCAGGATGTTAATATTTCACTGGAGTTGAATGGAACCTCTAAAGGCCATCCGGTCCAACCCCTGCTTCCATGCAGGAAGACACAATCCAAGCTTTCCCGACAGATGGCCATCCAGAGGCCATTTTTAACCCTCCAGAGAAGAAGAATCTACTTGAAATCCCTAGCAATGGAGTTGGAAGGGACCCCTTAAGGCCATCCAGTCCAGCCCCTTTCTTCTGTGTAGAAACACACAGTCAAAGCCCTCCTGACAGATGGCCATCCAGACTCTTGGGAAAAGACTCTGTGCCACTAGAGACTCACCGAAGACCCCAAAGCCTAAGACACAAGTGGCAGTTGCCCACTCCATGTTGCGAACGGCTTCGGCGCTGGTGATCTGCCGGCAGGTAGAAGGGTCCCCTGTTAGGCAAAGAGGAGATTCAAAAAAGAGAAAAAAATGTGCATTAATAGTGAGCAGGTACCCCAAAGATATCCAGTTCTATTTGATCTTGAATGCTAAGCAGGGTCAGCCCTGGTTAGGAATTGGATGGGCGACCGCCATCCAATTCCCAAGGGCAGTAGGCTATACACCTGGCTTTTGTTGATTTCCTTACTTGATTGACACTTTCTCTCTAGGAATGTCTCAGTCCTCCCAAGGTTGGCTTCCAAAAGAAAGCCATCACCGTTAGCTGCAGCCAAAAAGGCTAATGCGATTCCATCGATAGGAATGTGCAGAGCAGTTTCTCTTTATCAATGAATGCAGTGTCGACGGTTTCACATCCATGCTCCCAGAAGTACTATTCTACAACCCGTCTCAAGCTATGAGAGGCGAGTAAGTAATAAAATTATTATTATTATTATTATTATTATTATTATTACTTTACTGACACAAAAACACAGTATGTCACAGCAAATGAGACATGCTGGATTATTATTATTATTATTATTTGTTGTTCTTATTATAATTTTATCAGATATGTTTTGATCTGTTGATTATGTTTATTTTTTATGTATGGTATGTGTTGTTTACATGTTGTTTGTGGGTTTGAGTTCCAATTCAGGAGAGGTGAATAAGTAATAACATTATTATTATTATTATTATTATTATTATTATTATTATTATTATCTTACTGACACAAAAACACAGTATGTCACAGCAAACGAGATATATATGCTGGGTTATTATTGTTGTTGTTGTTCTTATTATAATTTTATCAGATATGTTTTGATCTGTTGATTATGTGTATTTTATGTATGGGATGCTTTGTTTACATGTTGTTTGAGGCTTTGAGTTTCGACTGAGGAGAGGCGAGTAAATAATAATAATAATAATAATAATAATAATAATAATAATATTTTACTGAAACAAAAAAACAGCATGTCACAGCAAATGAGATATATATGCTCGGTTATTGTTGTTGTTGTTATAATTTTATTAGATATGTTTTGATCTGTTGATTATGCTTATTTTTATGTATGGTATGTTTTGTTTACATGTTGTTTGTGGCTTTGAGTTCCGATTGAGGAGAGGCGAGTAAGTAATAATAATAATAATAATAATAATAATAATATTGTTATTATTATTATTTTACTGACACACAAACACAGTATGTCATAGCAAACGAGATATACATGTTGGGATATTTTTGTTGTTGTTGTTGTTATAATTTTATCAGATATGTTTTGATCTGTTGATTACGTTTATTTTTATGTATGGTATGTTTTGTTTACATGTTGTTTGCCCCTTTGAGTTCTGATTCAGGAGAAGCGAGTAAGTAATATAATTATTATTATTATTATTATTATTATTATTATTATTATTATTCTGACACAAAAACACAGTATGTCACAGCAAATGAGATATATATCCTGGATTATTATTATTATTATTATTATTATTATTATTTGTTGTTGTTCTTATTATAATTTTATCAAATATATTTTGATCTGTTGATTACATTTATTTTTATGTATGGTATGTTTTGTTTACATGTTGTTTGAGGCTTTGAGTTCAGATTCAAGAGAGGCGAGTAAGCAATAAAGTTATTATTATTATTATTGGTATTATTATTATCTAACTGACACAAAAACAGTGTCACTGCAAATGAGATATATATGCTGGATTATTATTATTATTATTATTATTATTATTATATTTATTTATTGTTGTTCTTATTATAATTTTATCAGATGTTTTGATCTGCTCATTATGTTTATTTTTATGTATGGTATGTTTTGTTTACATGTGAGGTCTCAACCTCTGAGGATGCTTGCCATAGATGCAGGCGAAACGTCAGGAGAGAATGCTTCTAGAACATGGCCATATAGCCCGAAAAACCTACAACAACCCAGTGATTCCAGCCATGGAAGCATTTGACAATACGATGTTGTTGTTGTTTACTCACAGTACAAGATTTCGTAGTCGCCAGAATTGGTCACCAAACAGCTGCTGTCATAAGCCCAGTCCAGATGAGTGATGAAACTGGAGTGACCCTGGAAACAGTGGAAGAATTACATCATGTAACACAATTTTCGTTCCTGGGTTACAAACATCATTTCCTAATTGGTTCTATCGCAAAAACATGGGAAAAGTTTATTAAACTGCCAAAACTTTATTCTTGAAGAACATTTTGCTATAGTCTTTCAGTGAACATCTCATCAAGTCTCAGTCAATTCAACATAGTTTGTGACAGTTACAAAAACGAAGTTTCTGGAGAAGGACAACTACTTTCAAAACCAGGGCTGCACAATTAAACAGGAAATAACACTTTCAAACCAGGAACAGAATTCTTTTTCCTGCATCTTCTGCAACTCTTTTCCTGCATCTTCTGGATCCAAGTCAAAGTGAAAAATACATAGAGAGCATTGCCCTCTGGTGTCCACATGTGGCATTACAAGGCTTAGCCCATCAGTCTGGTTGGGCCTTAAGATGCATTATGTGCATCTTAGAATCAAAGAGTTGGAAGAGACCTCCTGGGCTATCCAGTCCAACCCCATTCTGCCAAGAAGCAGGAATATTGCATTCAAATCACCCCCAACAGATGGCCATCCAGCCTCTGTTTCAAAGCTTCCAAAGAAGGAGCCTCCACCACACTCCGGGGCAGAGAGTTCCACTGCTGAACGGCTATCACAGTCAGGAAGTTCTTCCTAATGTTCAGATGGAATCTCCTTTCTTGTAGTAACTTGTCATCTCTTGGGAAGACAGGCAGGGAAATGCCAGCATGTTGGAAGAAGCAAAGACCACCAGCATTGAAGCGTTCGACAGAATGTCACATTGTCCGAGTGCCCAGAGATCACCGCCTTCTAAAGCAGTTACTATACTCCCAACTCAAGAAATGTAATGTTGGTGGAAAGGAAAAGAGATTGGAAGATGGGCTTAAAGCCAACCTTAAAAACTGTGGCAGAGACACTGGGAACTAGGAAGCCCTGGCCCTTATGTGCTCTAACTGGAGGTCAGTTGTGACCAGCAGTGCTGCAGAATTCGAAGAAGTACGAATGGAGGGCGAAAGGGAGAAATGGGCCAAGGGGCAGTTACTCTACCCCGAACTCAAGAATGGGAAATGGAATGTCAGTGGACAGGAAAAGAGACTGAAAGATGGGCTTAAAGCCAACCTTAAAAACTGTGGCAGACACACCGAGAACTGGGAAGCCCTGGCTCTTGAGTGCTCTAAGTGGAGGTCAGCTGTGACCAGCAGTGCTGCAGAATTCGAAGAGGCACGAATGGAGGGCGAAAGAGAGAAATGTGCCAAGAGGAAGAAGGTGCGTCAAGCCAACCCTGACCAAGACTGCCTTGTTGCTACTAGAGGTTTACAACAGGCTTTTTCTAAGTAACAGGGAGGATCAGAACCTTTTCTGTTACAACTGCCACAAGTTAATTGGGTGTGTCATCTGCTCCAGCATATAGCAAGGCACTAGGTTTGCAAGCTTTGAGCTTTGCATTTGGCTTAGCTTGATGGCTCGTTTTGAGGTGAAGAAATCTTTGGCAGTTGCTGGGAGTGGTTACGCAGCGTCCTGAAGCTGAATACTGAATCCGTTTGGAGTGCCAAGGAAGCTGCTTGTTTATGGTAAGGTAAGGACATTCTACTGATAACTAAGTAAAGAGACTGTATTATTTTACTGTCGTGTAAAGCAGAAGACTCACCGGAGATATTGCTTGTTATATATCGGTGAGAACAATTCTTCTGTTTTGCTTTGTGTTTCTGACCTACTGTAAATAGAACTATATTTTTGTTTCTACTTAAAGCAACAGTCATGTGTATCTTTTGAGTTTTTATCATACTGAGAGTAAAAGGGGCTGAGATATTCTGTGGGCTACTAACACTATTTTGACACGCCTTACACCTGGAAACCGATGTCCTCATTGCGGGAGAACATGTGGATTAAGAATAGGGCTCTACAGCCACCTACGGACCCATTGCCAAGATACCAGACTTGGAGGACCATCGTCCTCGGGCTACAAGGGATCGCCTAATTATTTATTTATTAATTAATTTTATTTATCATGTCATCAGCAACCATACCATTGTATTACAATTCTAACAGAGCAAAACAAACACACAGATTAAAAAGAAAAAGGGGGAAAAAACACACAGATTTTGCAAATTTGGTATTTGGTTAAATGTCCTTTGACCAGTATCTGGCCACTTGGAGTGCCTCTGGGGTTGCCGCAAGAAGGTCCTCCATGGTGCATGTGGCAGGGCTCAGGGTGCATTGCAGCAGGTGGTCAGTGGTTTGTTCTTCTCCGCACTCGCATGCCGAGGATTCCACCCTGTAGCCCCATTTCTTAAGACTGGCTCTGCATCTCGTGGTGCCAGAGCGCAGTCTGTTCACGCCTTCCAAGTCGCCCAGTCTTCTGTGTGCCCAGGGGGGAGTCTCTCATCTGGTATCACCCATGATTGAGGTGCTGGGTTTGGGCCTGCCACTTTTGGACTCTCGCTTGCTGAGGTGTTCCAGCGAGTGTCTCTGTAGATCTAAGAAAACTATGTCTTGATTTAAGTCGTTGACGTGCTGGCTGATACCCAAACAGGGGATGAGTTGGAGATGTCTCTGCCTTGGTCCTTTCACTATTGGCTGCTACTTCCCGGCGGATGTCAGGTGGTGCAATACCGGCTAAGCAGTGTAATTTCTCCAGTGGTGTGGGGCGCAGACACCCTGTGATAATGCGGCATGTCTCATTAAGAGCCACATCCACTGTTTTAGTGTGGTGAGATGTGTTCCACACTGGGCATGCGTACTCAGCAGCAGAGTAGCATAGCGCAAGGGCAGATGTCTTCACTGTGTCTGGTTGTGATCCCCAGGTTGTGCCAGTCAGCTTTCGTATGATATTGTTTCTAGCGCCCACTTTTTGTTTGATGTTCAGGCAGTGCTTCTTGTAGGTCAGAGCACGGTCCAGAGTGTGTTGCAATGCTCCAGTGGGATTCCTTCCCAGGTAATCCTCAGAGCTCAGGATGCTTGTCTGTTCTTAAGGTGAAAGGCGCATGTCTGTGTTTTAGATGGATTAGGGATCAGCCTAAGTAAGTCACAAACAGATTTCCTTAGCTTCTCTGATATCCCGCTAAATACTGCAATCATAATTAAGCAGAAAGCAAAAAATAAAAACAGCCAAAAGCAAAGGAAATAATGAACCTTTTCCACTCACCGAACACTTGCCGACCCGGCCGTACTTCCTTCCTCCTTCGGAAACCAAGTAGATGTAGACAAAGTTATCGTGGGAGCCCAACGCCAGGTATTTGCCATCTGCAAAAAAAAAAAGCAAATGGTTGGAGGAAAAGTTGCCCAGAAGGCAAAGAGAGCAGAAAACATCACGGATCCAAATTGCAATTTCCACTTTTTTGCCCATTTTGAACTGGTCGCACCAGAGTCCCTACCTGGAGAAAAGCTGACGACGGAAATCTGCTCGGCTCCGTCGGTGTGGATTGTCACCAAATCTCGGGTTTCTGTGTCCAGAACCATCCATCTAAAGATTTAAAGGAGTTCACAATGAACTACCTAATGTTTGATGTTTTCTCATCCTTGTGGGAGGCTTCTCTTATGTCCCCACATGGGGAGCTGGAGCTGACAGAGGGAGCTCAACCCACTCTCAATGGATTCAAACTGACTGACCACAAGGGATGAGATGATCTTAGCGTTGAACCAAAGTCAAAGGGGAAGCTGCTTCCGAAGCGCCTGGAACTCCACTTTGAGGGACTTATTATCTAATGTAATGGCCATGTCTCAATGCTATGCGATTCTGGGATTTGTAGTTTGGTGAGGGATCCGCCTTCTTTGGCAGGGGAGGCTCAAGGCCGTGTCAAACGATATCCCCCAGGATTCCATAGCCTTGAACCAAGGTGATGAAAGTGGGTTCGTTCTGCAGCATAGATTCATCCCAAGGGTTTCCTTTCTGTTGCTGGAAGTTTTGGAACCAAAAAGGTCATGAGTTCGAAGCCAGCCCGGGTTGGAGTGGGTTTCCAACCAATTGTGTAGCCTGTTGTCGACCTTTGCAACCCGAAAGACAGTTGCATCTGTCAAGTAGGAAAATTAGGTACCACCTTAAAGTGTGGGGAGGCTAAATTAACTGATTTATGAGGCCATAAAGAAGACTCCAGCAAAGCATTCCAGCGGGGAAGCATGAGGGGAATGCGGAAGTGCTTCATCAGTGTCGCAGATGGACGATGAAAGCGACAGCTCCCCTGGCGGCCAGAAAAAGTTAAATAGCCTCTGTGTATGTCTGTATATGTTTGTATGTCAAAAATTGGCATTGAATGTTTGCCATATATGTGTACACTGTAATCCACCCTGAGTCCCCTGCGGGGTGAGGAGAAGGGCGGAATATAAAAGCTGTAAATAAATAAATAAAATAAATAAATTGGTGACATGTCGTTATACACTGACAAGACATAGAGGTATACGCTTGCCAATCTTCGGCATCTTGGAGGCTGTGCTCGATTCCGACCACAGGGGGTGCTGTCGCTCCACTTTCCCTGCCGGAGAGCTTTGTTTGTAAACTTCCTCCTTGATCGAATCACTGGCATTTTTTTCTGGCATTTCCTAATGGATGCCTTAAATACCTCTTCGCTTTAAGCAGTGCCTATTTATCTACTCACATTGCTATTTTCAAAACCGCTAGATAGGCAGAAGCTGGGCTAAAGGCCAGGAGCTCACCCTGACCCAGGCTTCAGACTGTCAACCTTCCAGTTGGCAAGATTTACTGCAGCTGGCGATTAACCTGCTCTGCCGAAGCCCACCGCAACTGCAATCTGCGCTTTTGTGGCCAAATTACAAAGAGCACCACATATTATATATGGCAGTAAATACTTTTTGTGGTTTCGAGGTTTTGAAAATGGAGGTGCTCGTTTGATTCGGTGGTGCATGAGACTTGAAGAAACATGGAACAAGTTGTTTCTGACTTCTGGTGACACTAAAGTGGACCGATCATGAAGTTTTCCTGGGAAGATCAGCTCAAGAAAGGATCCTGGGAGACCATTGTTCCCCTCTTTCTTTCTTTCTCATCCATAGGGGTCAAGGGGGCCCATTACCTGCCCGTGACGGTGCCCACCACCAACACCGATCCGCTGGGATGGAAGCCTGCAGAGCGCGCTGCGTCCTGGAGGAGAGGAGGAGATCCATCAAGGGGATGGGAGACCATGCATGGACCACCCCATGGACCACCAGGCCAAGACTGCCCCCAAACACCAGCCCTGGATGACCCCCTATCACACTCACCTCAATCCCCTTGCTCCACAAGGGCTGGTGGGTGGCCACGCTCCAGAGGTGGACCTGCTTGTCTTGCCCACAGGTCAAGAACTGGTCCAGGGTGGGATGGGTGGCCAGGCCCCAAAGTTCCTCTGTGTGTCCCTATGGAAAGAGACAGGGAGAGAGAGATGGTCACTTGGCATTGGGATCACATTGACTCCTTTCAGGGCCATTCCTGGTCATAATATTGCTGGAGCTTGGTGAGTCTCTAGTACAAGCCTTGGCAAAGTTTGGTCCTTCAGATGTTTTGGACTTCAACTCCCACAATTCCTAACAGCCTTGCAGGGTGACTAATAGTCATGGCATTGGATTTGCCTTGACCATCAACTCCTTGAAGGACCACCAAAGGTCAGCACACTGGACCTAGTTTGACTATCTACTCCTTGGAGAGCCTCTGATGGTCATGACATTGGGCTCAACCTGACCACCAGATCCTCTCAGGATTCCCGATGGGCATAGCACTGGATGTATCTTGACCATCTACTCCTTGCAGAGCCTCTGATGGTAAAGGATTCACCTTGACCATATAGTCTTTGCAAGGCCACTGATGGTCACAACACTGAACTGATGGCCATAACACTGGATTTACCTTGACAATCTTCTCCGTGCAGGACGACTAATGGTCATGCCCTTGGACTCAAACTGACCATCTACTACTTAAAGGACTACTGATGGTCATGCCCTTGGGCTCACCTTGACCATTCATGCCTTGCAGGACATCCAGTGGTCATAACGTCTACTTCTTGAAGGGTAACCAATGTTTAAGGCATTGAACTTGCCTCAACCATTAGTTCTTTGTTGACCCACCAATGACCACAACATTGGACTTACCCTGACCATCTATTCCTTGCAGGGTCACCAATGGTCTTATCAATGAACTTACCTTGACCATCTAATCCTTGGAGCGCCACCAATGGTCTTATCAATGAACTTGGACCATCTACTCCTTGGAGAGCCACCAATGATCACAACATTGGACTCACCCTGACCATCTACTCCCTGGAGAGCCGCCAATGGTCTTATCACTGAACTTACCTTGACCATCTACTCCTTGGAGAGCCACCAATGATCACAACATTGGACTCACCCCGACCATCTACTCCTTGGAGAGCCACCAATGGTCTTATCAGTGAACTTACCTTGACCATCTACTCCTTGGAGAGCCACCAATGATCACAACATTGGACTCACCCTGACCATCTACTCCTTGGAGAGCCACTAATGGTCTTATCAGTGAACTTACCTTGACCATCTACTCCTTGGAGAGCCACCAATAATCACAACATTGGACTCACCTTGACCATCTACTCCTTGGAGAGCCACCAATGGTCTTATCAATGAACTTACCTTGATCATCTACTCTTTGCAGGGTCACCAAGGGTCTTATCATTGGACTCACCTTGACCCTCAAAGAGCCACTAATGGTCATGGCATTAGTCTCCCCTTTATCCTCAAAGGGGAATATTTTGTCAGATGTGGATAAATGAAACTGTGGATACGGGCGCCATATTGTATCTTACCTGCACCAGAAGGGAGAAGCCGGTGGTCAAAGACCCATGAAGGACTGAATTCCGTGTGGTGCCCACAAAGAGGGAGTCCCCCTTCCCTTCGGCCACAGTGCGCACCGGCCCAAAGCCTTCGGGGACCTAAAGAAAGGGAAAGACCAGCCGTCCACATCACATTCTCAGAGGGACCTTGTCAAACTACAAGTTCCAAGAGTCCATAGCCAGGAGCCACGGCGTCAAACTGGATTAGCTCTAAATGAAGTTCAACAGGGACAAATGCAAGATACTCCACTAGGAATAGCTAGGAATACAGATAGTGGAACTGGACCTCGTTCGTGGTCTGTTCTTTGTCCCTGATGAAGGCTAGGCCAAAGGATATTGGCTAGGTTCCAGAAAGGGGGAATTTTGTTTGGAATGATTATCAGCGATTAATTTCCTGAGATAATCTCCTGTTTTGTTAACATCAAGATTTGAACCTAGAACCCATCTAAGAATTGTACATCAAAAGTAACCAGAAGCTTATGTACCAGTAACTTACTGAAACCACTACGCATTTGTACCAGAACAAGTTTAAGCCTGTTAAATAAACGTTTTATTTTTGTTAACACTTTATAACAGCCTCAGTGTGAACATCATTGTGATTTAAACCCTCTAAAGAAAACAAACACTATTGTAACACAAAAGGGTGTTACTAAGTATACTCTCCACATACAACTCAGCCTGAATACCAAGCAAAAAGGTGGCAGCAAAAACAATTGAAGAAACATTTTCAAGATTTCCCAGTTGCCTCTTTCCTGTTTTAAAAATTCCCCTGCACCTATATATATCCTTATAGGGTGTAGGAGGCCCTAGGGGCACTGAGTAGCCGAAGTCCATTCATAAAACAGGAGTTTCATTCATAAAAAAGGAATCCAATTAATAAATAATAGCCAAATTGGTCAGATGCTAGTTTGGGTCACAGGGGCGTTGCCATGTAGGGCCATGGAAGAAGCCTTAGGTTCCCACATGGGGGAGAGATAGGGGATTATGGGATCATTCCAGCCTGGTGTCCTTGGCGAAACTATGAATTCTCTGGTTTTACAGAGTCCTGGAAGGGGGGTGTCACCTCCGATGACATAGATGCGCCTGGACGTCAGCAGCAACGAGAACAGACAGGATTAACTCCCACAAGTGGGGCAGTGGGGCAGAGCCTCACAAAGGGAGGCATAATTCCCAGGCATTTGCATGAGAGCGGATCCAGTGACTGCTTCTCTCTCCCGAAAAGTAGGCCAAGTTTGACGGGATTTCTTCCCTTAGAGGCGGGCGATTTCGAGATTAAGCAGGAGTCAAAAAAATAAAATAGACAAAAGACTCCACGGAATGAATTCTTTTTGCATTTCGGAACAGATCAGGGCCAGAGCGTCTCGTCAGTTTTCAGGCGCTGCAACTAACAGTGGCACCTGCACACCTGGCACAATACCTGGCTGGCAAAGGCAAGATGTCGGATAACAACACAACGTTGCGCTCATTCCGATCCTAACAGGATGGTCCTTGCACCTCTGTTTCCCTTTTCAGGCTGTGAAAAGAACCCCCAAAGTGGGATTTAAGGGTTCTTGGGAATCACACAGTTGGAAAGAGATCTCCAAAAGTCATCTAGTCCAACCCCATTCTTCGGAAGACACAATCCAAACCGTCCTGACAGATGGCCATCCAACTTCTGCTTATAACCTCCAGAGGAGACTCCACCAGACTGCAAGGCAATCCATATTGCAGGAGAGTTGGAAAGGGGGTTTCAAAGGCTATCCAGTCCTACCTGTTTCTAACATGCAGGAAGGCACCATCTGATCCCTCCTGACAGATGGCCATCCAGCCTCAGTTTATAGACTTCCTGAATAGGAGACTCTACCAGACTCTAAAAACAGCTTAATTTTGCATTAAAGTTGGAAAGGGAGTCCCAAAGCCCCCCAGTCCAATTCACTTAAGTCATACAGGAATCCCTCCTGACAGATAGCCATCCAGCCACAGTGTAAAGACCTCCGGAAAAGGAGACTCTGTCGGACTCTAAAGCAGCCTATTTTGGGGAAGGGAGCCCCCAAGGCCATCCAGTCCAACCTGCTTCTGTAATGCACGAAGGCACAATCAGATCCCTCCCAATAGATGGCCATCCAATCTCAGTTTAAAGACCTCTGGAAAAGGAGACTCAGACGGACTCTAAAGCAGCCTATTTTTGGGAACGGAGCCCCAAAGGCCATGCAGTCGAACCTGCTTCTGACATGCAAGAAGGCACCACATGATCCCTCCTGACAGATGGCCATCCAGCCTCCATTTAAAGACCTTTGGAAAGGAGACTCCGTCGGACTCTAAAGCAGCCTATTTTTGGGAAGGAAGCCCCAAAGGCCATGCAGTCCAACCCACTTCTGTCATACAGGATAGCATCATCTGATCCCTCCCAAGAGATGGCCATCCAGCCTCAGTTTAAAGACTGAGAAAGGGGACTCCGTCGGGCTCTAAAGCAGAGTTGGGAAGGGAGCCCCCAAGGCCATCCAGTCCAACCTGCTTCTGTCATACTGGAAAGGACCATCAGATCCCTCCTGACAGATGGCCGTCTAACTTCTGTTTGAAGAGAATTCTGTTCCATGCCACCCATATTACCTCGTTCTCCTGCAGTTTGTGGTAATCCCGGCCCCACAGGACCACCCTGCGGTCCCTGCCGCCTCCGGTGACGATGGTCCCGTTTCGCAAGACGCACAAGCCAAAGATGCCCCCTTCGTGGGCCCCCGGCACCGCGTGGCAGATCCGGTTTCCTCCTGAAAAGGCAACAAACGCCTTTGGTTGAACAGGGGAAAGACCTTCGTGCAAACACACTCATCCACACCTCTCTGAGACGGTCCTCCCTTTAGGAAGATCTGTCTAGCATCACACTGTGCAACAAAATCTGCAAAATGGGTTGAGATAGAAAAACTAGAGCAGAATGTGCTGCAGGATGACGTCCCTCCCGCAGAAGCAAAGTTTGTGTAGTTTCATACACTTTCCCCGTGTTTTTAGGATGGAACCAATTAGGAAATGACCTTCACAACCCAGAACGAACATCATGTTACATAGCAGATTCCAAACCATCTTCCAAGATGGAGTTGCAGGACTCTCTTGCCCATTTTTGCACTACAGAATGAATGTAGTTTGATATTGTTTCAACTGCCATGGATTAATGCATGGGGAGCATGGAAGTTATAGTTTTGCAACAACAACAATTGCCAAAGAGTGCTGGTGCCTTACCACATTACAGCTTCCAGATTTCCTTTTAACATTGAGCCATGGCATTTAGTGTGTTGTCAAACTGCACCAATTCTACAGGCCTCTATAGTGATTAGAGTGCTGGTGTGGAAGGAGAATTCAAGAGGTTCAAAACAACCTGTTTGTATTCCTGTGTGTGGAACTTTGTTTTAAGGAACTCAAGTTATAAGACAGTTTTGGGAACTGTTATATGAAAGATACCTCTTTGAGGACAATAGTTAAAGCCTCCAGGGAGGAGAAGAAGAAATATAGTAGGCCTCTATAGTGATTAAAGTGCTGGTGTGGAAGGAGAATTCAAGAGGTTCAAAACAACCTGTTTGTATTCCTGTGTGTGGAACTTTGTTTTAAGTAACTGAAGTTATAAGACAATTTTATATAAAGATACCTCTTTGAGGACAATAGTTAAAGCCTCCAGGGAGAAAAAGAAGAAGAAATATAGTAGGCCTCTATAGTGATTAAAGTGCTGGTATGGAAGGAGAATTCAAGAGGTTCAAAACAACCTGTTTGTATTCCTGTGTGTGGACCTTTATTTTAAGTAACTCAAGTTATAAGACAGTTTTGGGAACTGCTATATGAAAGATACCTCTTTGAGGACAACAGTTAAAGCCTCCAGGCAGAAGAAGAAGAAATATAGTAGGCCTCTATAGTGATTAGAGTGCTGGTGTGGAAGGAGAATTCAAGGGGTTCAGATGAAAATTGTGCACTTAACTCTCCACTTATTGTGAACAGGAAAATATTTTACTTTGGCCAATGATTCTACAAAATCAAAATTAACTTGCCTTGGAGCTCATAAAGCTCACACTCTGGGAACTCAGAATGTCTCGCTAACCATCTAAAGGACTGCCTGCCATGTCACCAGACATTCTTGACTTTTCTATGGAAAGCATGGAAGTTATAGTTTTGCAACAACAACAACAATAATTGCCAAAGAGTGCTGGTGCCTTACCACATTACAGCTTCCAGATTTCCTTAACATTGAGCCATGGCATTTCATGTGTTGTCAAACTGCACCAATTCTAGAGGCATCTATAGTGATTAGAGTGCTAGTGTGGAAGGAGAATTCAAGGGGTTCAAAACAACCGGTTTGTATTCCTGTGTGTGGAACTTTGTTTTAAGTAACTCAAGTTATAAGACAATTTTGGGAACTGTTATATGAAAGATACGTCTTTGAGGGCAATAGTTAAAGCCTCCAAGGAGAAGAAGAAGAAGAAATATAGTAGGCCTCTATAGTGTTTAGAGTGCTGGTGTGGAAGGAGAATTCAAGAGGTTCAAAACAACCTGTTGTATTCCTGTGTGTGGAAATTTGTTTTAAGTAACTCAAGTTATAAAACCATTCTTATAAGATGTATCCGTGCTCTGAACTGACCTTTTCCCCAGATGTAGAGGTTCCCCCCGGAATCGCCGGTCACCGTGTCCCCGTTCTCCGTGAAGGCGATGCACAGGACGTACTTGGGCTTCTCGTGTTTCTGCAAGATTAGTTCCATTATCACTTCCTTCTGTCCGTTTTGAGCTGGCATGGGCCAACTTGGGCCCTCCCTCCAGGTGTTTTGGACTCCAACTCCCACAATTCCTAACAGCCTACCGGCTGTTAGGAATTGTGGGAGTTGGAGTCCAAAACACCTGGAGGGAGGGCCCAAGTTGGCCCATGCCTTGAGAAGATCACATCTTTCCCAGGGTGCAAACGACAATGCATCAACACCTTTAACAAACACAGCAAAACCGGTTCGCCTAGACAGTGTGTATGTAAACATACAAAGACAATGCGTGCTAATATTTGTCAACTAGGAAAGGGAAAATATCAACATGCCTCTATTTAGTTGAGTCTAATGCTCACCTTGTTTTGGGTTAAAGGGCCTCGCCAAAATCAGGGTACGCATTACATCCACCTCACGTGGTCATCTTAGGCTATACACAGCCATATAAAATCCACATTATCTGCTTTGAACTGGATTATATGGCAGTGTAGACTCACATAATCCGGTTCAAAGCAGATAATGTGTATTATTATCTGCTTTGATAATAATTGATCATGTGGCAGTGTAGAAAGGGCCTATCTGAATGGCCGTGGCTCAATGCTATGCGGCCCTGGGATTTGTAGTTTGGCCAAAATGTGAACCTTAAGTTTGGGAGTTGTAGTTCACCTACATCCAGAGAGCACTGTGGACTCAAACCATGATGGATCTGGACCAAACTTGGCACAAATACTCAATATGGCCAAATGTGAACACTGCTGGAGTTTGGGGAAAATAGACCTTGACATTTGGGACTTGTAGTTGCTGGGATTTATAGTTCACCTACAATCAAAGAGCATTCTGAACTACACCAATGATGGAATTGAACCAAACTTGGCACACAGAACTCCCATGACCAACAGAAAATACTGGAAGGGTTTGGTGGGCATTGACCTTGAGTTTTGGAGTTGTAGTTCACCTACATCCAGAGAGCACTGTGGACTCAAACAATGATGGATCTGGACCAAACTTGGTACACAGAACTCCCATGACCAACAGAAAATACTGGAAGGGCTTAGTGGACATGGACCTTTAGTTTGGGAGTTGTAGTTCACCTACATCTAGAGAGCACTGTGGATTCAAACCATGATGGATCTGGACCAAACTTGGCACAAATACGCAATATACCCAAATGTGAACACTGGTGGAGTTTGCGAGAAAATAAACCTTGACATTTGGAAGTTGGGGTTGCTGGGATTTATAGTTCTCCTACAACCAAAGAGCATTCTGAACCCCACCAGTGACAGAATTGGGCCAAACTTCCCACACAGAATCCCCATGACCAACATCATGTTTTATGATGGTCTTTGGTGACCCCTCACGACCCCCTGCAGTGGTCCCGACCCCCAGGTTGAGAAACGCTGTTCTACAGCATAGATGCACCCCAAAGTTTTCCTTTCCATTAATGGAAGCTTTGGGGTTTGCTTTTGTTTGTAAATCAGGAATCCTAAGCCTTTGCAATGTACACTATTTGTCGTCGCGCATGTCATTCGTCGGCAAATTCTTTGGTTTCAGGGTTTTGCAAATTGGGGTGCACCTAAGATCCAATAGTGCACGAGACTCAAGGAAATAGGGTAACGTGTTTGGACTCAATCCACTTGGAAGTCGCCCGTTGAGATGACCATGGATCAAATGTATCCTCTGCATTTCAAAGTATCCTCTGCAGCTCGCCCCAAAGTTTGACCCTTTCTGTCATGTTCTCACCTCGAAAATGCCCTGCCGCTTGCTGAGGCTGCCTCCTTCCAGCGTCCAGAAGTGGATGTGGGATTTCCCACAGGTGATCAGCAACGTGGGCTCTGTTGGGTGGAAGGTGGCCGCCAGGACGGATTCGTTGGAGCACTTCCGGAGGAAGGAGAGAGAGAGAGCATCAGGTGCATGCAACACACCTTTGGGCAGCAGTCTCCACAATCCCGCACCATGCATGGAGAGAGAGCATCAGAGAGAGCATCATGCTACACTCCTTTGGGCAGCAATCTCCACAATCCCGCGCCATGCATGGCGATACATACAGACTGCAATTACAAGTAAACAAACAAGTTTCCAATCACTTACTTTCACGTCAGCAAGCTTCTGCTCCTTTTGCCAATCCCAGACAGAGAGGACGTGGTCATTGGAGTCATCCACTGCACAAAGGAGCCCACCTCCATTCTAGGGAGAGAAATATTATTATTATTTCCCTATTACTATAATTTTCCTATTATTATTATTATTATTACTAGTAGTAGTCGTACTACAATATGCCACTTAACATTATTATTATATCCTATAATTATAATTATAATTATAATAATTATTAGTAGTAGTCGTACTACAATATGCCACTTAGCATTAATATTATATATTATTATTATTATTATTACTAGTAGTAGTAGTAGTAGTACAAAGGAGCCCGCCTCCATTCTAGGGAGAGAAATATTATTATTATTTCCCTATTACTATAATTTTCCTATTATTATTATTATTAGTAGTAGTAGTAGTAGTAGTAGTGGTAGTAGTACAATATGCCACTTATCATTATTATTATATCTTCTTCTTATTATTATTATTATTACTAGTAGTAGTAGTAGTAGTAGTCGTACTACAATATGCCACTTAGCATTATTATTATATATTATTATTACTACTACTACTATAATTATTACTACTACTACTATAATAATATTTCTCTCCCTAGAATGGAGGCAGGCTCCTTTGTACTACTACTATTACTACTACTAGTAGTAGTACAAAGGAGCCTGCCTCCATTCTAGGGAGAGAAATATTATTATTTCCCTATTACTATAATTTTCCTATTATTATTATTATTATTATTATTATTATTATTATTATTATTATTAATAGTAGTAGTAGTAGTAGTGATAGTAGTACAATATTCCACTTATCATTATTATTATATCTTCTTCTTCTTCTTCTTATTATTATTATTATTACTACTACTACTACTAGTAGTAGTACTACAATATGCCACTTAGCATTATTATTATATCCTATTATTATTACTACTACTAGTAGTAGTACAAAGGAGCCCGCCTCCATTCCAGGGAGAGAAATATTATTATTTCCCTATTACTATAATTTTCCTATTATTATTATTATTATTAGTAGTAGTAGTAGTAGTAGTGGTAGTAGTACAATATGCCACTTATCATTATTATATCTTCTTCTTCTTCTTATTATTATTATTATTACTAGTAGTAGTAGTAGTAGTAGTCGTACTACAATATGCCACTTAGCATTATTATTATATCCCATTTATATTATTATTATTATAGTCCATTTATTATTATTATTATATTGCACTTAAATAACTATTATTATTATTACATCCAATTTATATTATTATTATTCCACTTATCATTATTATATCCCACTTACATCACTATTATCATCACATCCCATTTATATTATTATTATAATAGTCCATTTATTATTATTATATACCACTTAAGTCCCACTCACATCTTGTATTGGCAAACGCAAAGTGTTTCTAGAATACTCTGGGCTCATTTTGCAAAATAAGAGAAGTAAAGTTTCATGCTATTTTTCGAGTGGAAGGTGGTGAATATGGGCCTCTTTCAGGAGTGCTTTAGCCGTGCATTCCTGCACGGCAGAATGGGGTTGGACTAGATGGCCTTTGGGGTCCCTCCCGGCTCTGAGTTATCCGACTCGCTCACCGACTTGGAGAAGCCCACGCAGCTGACCGCCCGGTCAAAGGGTCCCGGTCCCAAGACGTGGAGCGTGTTCAGGCTGACCGAATCCCAGACTCTCACATGCGGAGGAAGCGGCTGCCGGAAAAGGAAGGAAAATATTAGATACAACAAAAGATTGCCCCAGGCACTGCCAGGCCATCAAATGCTAATCAAGGTGGTCAGCTGAAACATTCACACCTAGCTCCAGCAGACAAGAGTTCTTTGCCCCACTCCAGCCATTCCACAGATATATAAACCCATTGTCTTAATTCCAACAGACCTCACTACCTCTGAGAATGCGTGCCATAGATGCAGGCGAAACGTCAGGAGAGAATGCCTCTAGAACATGGCCATATAGCCTGGAAAAACCTACAACAACTCAGTGATCCTGGCCATGAAAGCCTTCGACAATACAAGGTTATGATACAAACTCCGTCCAATTTTGGAAACACTTTAGAAACTTTTTTCCCCCACTCCCCAATTCTGTAATGAGTATTGCAACATTCTTTTTCATTGATCACACAAGCCTATTGTTTACTTAATTTGCTTATTATTTGCATGACCTGCTGGTACTGACAAATGTTTCTGTGATTTGTTTTGAGCGTGTCCAAACAGATTAAACAAACACAAAGGAATGTGTTCCTGTTCTTTCCTGTTCCATTTTGGAGATCCAGACACATCTTCCCTGCCAGCTTTGGGCACCATCTTCATATGCCAGGTCCCCGAATTAGTTTATAATGGCAAAGAATTGGAACAAAAATCTGGGACTGGATGAACAAACCCTCATTGAGTTGAGATCGTCTTGTTTGGCATAATATATTCATTCCGGGACGGTGAGTGACCCTCACCTTGCCATCTTTCGACGTTCCGGCCACTTGCCCGGTTGCAATGGTCACCATGTCTGGATGCACAGCCAGGCTACAGATGAAAGAAAAGGAAATAAGTTCGTATACAGAACACTATGTCTCCTGAAAGACCACTCATTCATCCTTCCCTCCCTCTTTCTCTCCTTCTCTTCCCTCTCTCCTTCCTTCCCTTTTATTCTTTCCTTCTCTCCTTCCTTCTCTTCCTCCTCCCTTCCTCCCCCCTTTTCTTTCCCTTCCTTTCTCTCCTTCCTTCCTAATCTTCCTCTTTCCTTCCCTCCTTTTCTCTCCTTCCTTCCTTCCTTCTCTCCTTCCTTCCTTTTGTTCTTTCCTTCTATCCTTCCTTCCTTCTCTTCCTCCTCCCTTCCTCCCCTCTTTTCTTTCCCTTCCTTTCTCTCCATCCTTTTTTCACTTCCTCTTTCCTTCCTTCCCCCTTTTCTCTCCTTCCTTCCTTCTCTTCCTCTTCCCTTCCTTCCTCCCTTTTCTTTCCCTTCCTTTCTCCCCATTCTTTCTTCTCTTCCTTCCCCTTTTCTTTCCCTTCCTCTTTCTCCCATTCTTCCTTCTCTCCCTCTTCCCTTCCTTCCCCCTTTTCTTTCCCTTCTCCTTTCTCTCCTTCCTTCTCTTCCTTTCCTCTGCCCTTTCTCTCCTTCCTTCTCTTCCTCTTCTCTTCCTTCCCCTTTTCTTTCCCTTTCCCTTTCTCCCCTTCCTTTTTCTTCCTCTTCCCTTCCTTCCCCTCTTTTCTTTCCCTCCTTCCTTCCTTCCTCTTCTCTTCCCCTCTTTTCTTTCCCTTCCCCTTTCTCTCCTTCCTTCCTTCTCTTCCTCTTCCCTTCTTTCCCCCCTTTTCTTTCCCTTCCCCTTTCCCTCCTTCCCCCCTTTTCTTTCCCTTCCCCTTTCTCTCCTTCCTTCCTTTTCTTCCTTCTCCTTTCCTTTCCCTTCCCCTTTCTCTCCTTCCTTCTCCTTTCCTTTCCCTTCCCCTTTCTCTCCTTCCTTCCTTCCTTCCTTCCTTCCTTCCTTCCTTCCTTCCTTCCTTCCTTCCTTCCTCTTCTCTTCTTTTTCTTCCTTTGCTTTCCCTTTCTCCTTCCTTCCTTTCTCTTCCTCTTCTCTTCCTTCCCCTCTTTCCTTCCCCTTCCCCTTTCTCCCCTTCCTTGTTTCTCTTCCTCTTCCCTTCCTTCCCCTTTTCTTTCCCTTCCTCTTTCTCTCCTTCCTTCCTTCTTTTCCTCTTCCCTTCCTTCCCCTCTTTTCTTTCCCTTCCCCTTTCTCCCCTTGTTTCTCTTCCTCTTCCCTTCCTTCCCCACTTTTCTTTCCCTTCCTCTTTCTCTCCTTTCTTCCTTCTCTACCTATTCTTGGGCTGCAATTCCCAGCAGTCCTCCTGATTGATCTACCTATCTATCTCTATCTAATCTATCTATCTAGGGGATTGCTGGGAGTTGCAGTCCAGGAATAGGAAATTGGAAATATGCAGGGAATTGGGAAATCAAAGGAGAAGCAAGCTCGCAGCTTGGAAGCAGTGCATTTGCACCATCTTCCTCTCCTAAAGGGCCTGGTCTAGGGGATGCTGGGAGCTGTAGTCTGGAAGAGAGTGTGGATATGCTATTGTGCGTTTTGTTTGCCAGGGGGGAGTCATTTTTGTGCATGCGCCATAGCATCTTTTTGCTTTTTTGGCTTTTTAAGTCTCTTACACTGTGTTTTTCAGTGTTTTTATGAGTGATGGTCACTCGTTGGCCTGAGAAGTGTCTTGTGCCCAAATTTGGTGTCAATTCGTCCAGTGGTTTTTGAGTTATGTTAATCCCACAAACGAAAATTACATTTTTATTTATATAGATTGGTATTTAAAATCAATTCAGAATCAATAAATACTTAGTGTTGGTGTCCCCAAAAACATGACAAAAGTTTTCTGAATGCCACCTAGTGGCTGTTTTAGGCACTGACACGGATCTGTACGGCATTTTCAGTGGCTTTTGCAGAAGTTGATTCAGCTGTTGCTCACAGAAAGGAAAACCTTGCAAAGGCTGATTTACGTGGGTTTTGACTGTGGGACATTGCCTTCTCTGAGTTCCACTCTCGCTCATATGTTTCTTGCTCCCCAAGCGCCCTGACTATATATATATTATGCTGGGCCTCTCCAAGATGCAAATGATCTTAAGGACGTGACTGTGACCCAATATTCTCACCATTTGATGTCGTCGGTGTGCCCCAGGTAGTGGCGCTGGCGCTGCTCCTCCACGTTGTAGAGGACGGCCACGGCAGCCACGAAGTAGGCGATCTCCCCCGTGGGCAGCAGGAAGAGGTTGGAGCGGCAGTCCCGGCCCCGGTAGCCATAGCTGGGCAAAGAGCTAGTCAAGGTTTTGGGCAAACGCAAAGGAGAAGTCTTGCATACCTGCTCTAAAGCGTCCGGACGTGGAAACATCCCCCTTTCCACCCCTTGCAAACCTCTCCTCCTTTCAACCCCAATGGCCCCGATTTGGACCCCAACTGGCTGCTTCCCAATCTTATTATTATTATTATTATTATTATTATTATTATTATTATTTGAAACACAACAAGATGAGTCCACAGCAGATACTCTGCTGGCTGTTGAATTGGATCACACGTCAGACTCTTCCCAAGTGTCTAGGACTGTGTGATGTATCGGCGAATAATGCGTGCAGATCCCAGTAAGCTGGCAGATGGTAATTTTGTCAGCGCCAGTTGTTTTTAAGTGCAGGCCAAGGTCTTTAGGCACTGCACCCAGTGTGCTGATCACCACTGGAACCACTTTGACTGGTTTGTGCCAGAGTCTTTGCAGTCTGGTCTTTAAGTCCTCATATCGTGTCATCTTTTCCAGTTGTTTATTACTATTATTATTATTACTATTATTATTAGAAACACCACAAGATGAGTCCACAGCAGACACTCTGCTGGCTGTTGAATTGAATCACACTTCGGACCCTTCCCAAGTGTCTAGGACTGTGTGATGTATCGTCAAATAATACGTGCAGATCCCAGTAAGGTGGCTTCTGCAGCTGGCAGATGGTCATTTTGTCAGCGGCGATTGTGTTTAAGTGCAGGCCAAGGTCTTGAGGCACTGCACCCAATGTGCCGATCACCACTGGGACCCTCTTGACTGGCTTGTGCCAGAGTCTTTGCAGTTTGATCTTTAAATCCTCATATTGTGTCATCTTTTCCAGTTGATTATTATTATTATTATTATTATTATTATTATTATTATTATTATTATTATTATTATTATTATTTGAAACACCACAAGATGCGTCCACAGCAGACACTCTGCTGGCTGTTGAATTGGATCACACATCGGACACTTCCCAAGTGTCTAGGACTGTGTGATGTTGTAAAGGAGGGTAAAACTACTGCCACCTAATCTGTGAGGAAAGCCGGGTAATGATCAATATCAGCTTATGAGCTGGTTTATAAAGGGACTATTAATTACAGAAGGCTTTATTCATTTGATAGCGTAGCGTTTTCTGTACCTGGCTTGACTTTACTTCTTATGCAGGCTGTTTGACTTAAGAGAAACTGTATCAGGCAAGGCTTGAGGAAAACAGTAACAATTTTATTGGAACAAGCAAGGTATAACAGATTTGATTGTTTCTTCACAAGAGGCATGAATCTTGACTGGTTACATTAGTAAGGTTTCATGAGTAACTTTAGGTACAGACTTTAAGAGGTTTCTATAAGCAGATGTATTTTTCCTGGACAACTGTCCTAATAAAACAAATAAGCTAAAAGGCTTATTTAACAGAATTGGCTCCCAGCCAAACCTTGATCCTTAACCCAGAATCAATAACCCCCTGTAGTTTTATCACTACCAGGTTCTTTCCTGTAACCCCTTTGGTCACAAATTAATTCCCTGAATCTCCACCCAGAGATTCAGTTTTCCCTGTAGCTCACCGGCTTACAGACTGCCACTTTCAAAAAGCTGCACCATGAAGAGGCAGTTGGCTCCGCCCCCGTTGCTACGGCAACTCAGCTCAAGCCACCAGCCACCATCTCTAACAAAATATAATCCTACATACTTACCATTTATTAACTACTGTTTAAACAACCCATAACCATAAGAATAAAAATTACACATCGTCACAGATGTATTGGCGAATAATGCCTGCAGATCCTGGTAAGGTGGCCTTCTGCAGCTGGCAAATGGTCATTTTGTCAGTGCCGATTGTGTTTAAGTGCAGGCCAAGTTCTTGAGGCACTGCACCCAGTATGCCCATCACCACTGGGATCCCCTTGACTGGCTTGTGCCAGAGTCTTGGCAGTTCAATCTTTAAATCCTCATATCGTGTCATCTTTTCCAGTTATTTCTCTTCAACCCTGCTGTCACCTGGGATTGCAACATCAGCAATCCATACTTTGTTTTTTTAACACGATTGTGAAGTCAGGAGTATTAATATTATTATTTTACTGACACAAAAGCACAGTATGTCAGAGCAAACAAGATCTATATGTTGGATTTCATATCACAAAATCACAAGTTGAACAAAATCACAAGTTGAGCGTCTAGGACTGTGTGATTTATTATTATTATTATTATTATTATTATTATTTATTTATTTATTTTTATTAATATCTTTCCAAAGGGTATGGTATGGATACGAGGAGGGATAGGAGTGCTAAGATTAGTGTTAGTAAATTAATAAATCTTATCAAATATCTAATAAATCATCAAGAGAGAGGAGAGTGATATGGCGGGCGAGGCGAAAACATTATATCACATTTTACTCTATTACATCCAGTTTTTAATCTCTGCTACTCTAACATCCAGGAGCCATCCATTGTGCAGTGGGTTAAACTGCTGAGCTGCAGAACTTGCTGACTGAAAGGTCAGTGTTTTGAATCTGGGGAGCGGATTGAGCTCCTGCTGTTAGCCCCAGCTTCTTTGAATACAGGGGTGCTTTGAATGCAATATTCCTGCTTCTTGGCAGAATGGGGTTGGACTGGTTGGCCCATGAGATCTCTTCCAACTCTAGGATTCTATGATTCTGCCAACCTAGCAGCTCGAATATCATTCCTCCCCATTTTGAACCCCCAGATGCTCTGCTTGACCCCTATTTATGGCCCCAACCAACCCATTTTAAACCTTTCTCCCTCCACCCTAACGGCCTCCTTTCTGCCCGTTTTCAACCCCCAACGACCCCATCCTCAGCCGTATTTGCACCCCAAATGATCCATCTGCACCCCAATTTTCAATCCCTGGGAACACATGGCTTTGGGGAAGGATACACCCAGTCCAGTTTGAGCTTCTTATGGGGCAGGTCCAGCTTGGCATCCAGGCTGAAGGTGGCCACGACGGCATCGGGAACGAACATGGGGATGGGACGCCCACGCAGGAACATTTTCACGTAGCCATCCTCTGCAGGGAGAATAATAATAATAATAATAATAATAATAATAATAATAATAATAATAATGTTTATTTATACTCCGCTTTTTTCTCTCCACCGAAAGGTCATGAGTTCGAAGCCAGTCTGGGTCGGAGTGAGCTTCCGACCAATTTGTGTAGCTTGCTGTCGACCTTTGCAGCCTGAAAGACAGTTGCATCTGTCAATTTAGGTACCGCTTATGCGGAGAGGCTAATTTAACTAATTTACGAGGTCTTACAAATCTCCAGCAAGCATGCAAAGAATGAGGAAGTACTTCGTCAGTGTCACAAATAGACGGTGAAGCGACAGCTCCCCTGGTGGCCAGAATACCCTCATGAAAAGCTGGAATGTTAAATAGCCTCTGTGTGTCTGCATATATATGTTGTGTGTCTATGGCATTGAATGTTTGCCATGTATGTGTACATTGTAATCTGCCCTGAGTACCCTGCGGGGTGAGAAGGGCGGAATATAAATACTGCAAAATAAATAAATAAATAAAGTCCAGAACCCGGAAAGGAGCAATAGTCAACCGAAAGGCATGAAGCACACCATGCAAGCATTTGAAACTTCTTTGGCAACTAAAACCAAAACCAGTTACTGTTAAATTTCGTATTGAACCTCGGTCACCATCACATGCAAAGCACAGGAATTGTCAACTTACCAGCGTTGAAAGTGGCTTCTTTCGGTTTGCTGCAGGAAGAAAAAGAAAGAAAAGAAATAGTTAGAAGGAAATAGTTAGTTTCTGAAAGGTAATGCACTTTGTTCTGAACGCCACCTAGTGGCTATTTTAGACATTTACACCCATCTGCGGTGCAATGTTTACAGCAGACTCTGCCGAAGATGCTGCAGCTAAAAAAGGAAAATCACCTTGTTTAGCAAGCCTTGCAAATGCGGTTTGTTTCTGAAGGACAATGCACTTTGTTCTGAATGCCACCTAGTGGTTGTTTTAGACATTTACACCAATCTGTGGCACAATGTTTACAGCGGACTCTGCCGAAGATGCTGCAGCTACAAAAGGAAAATCGGGCTGTTTAGCGAGCCTTGCAAATGTGGTTTGTTTCTGAAGGGGAATGCACTTTGTTCTGAATGCCACCTAGTGGCTGTTTTGGACATTTACACCCATCTGCGGTGCAATGTTTACAGCGGACTCTGCAAAAGATGCTGCAGCTAAAAAAGGAAAATGAGTCTGTTTAGTAAGCTTTGCAAATGCTGGTTTGTTTTCAGTAAATGTTTACATTTTACACCTATTTTATATACCTGCATATCCGGAGTCACATAAAAATTTCTCGAGCCAAAAGGGGTCCAAATGGGAAAATTTAAGAAGGATTGTGCTTTCGGCTGAGCCAAACACAACCTTGCATTGGGAAAGTTTCCCACTTAAAAATAAACTGAAGAGAGCAGGAACGGAATCTCCCAAATCCAAAATGATTGAATTTGGATTTTGGACTATTTGCTTATTGCCATATATTCTGCAGTTGATTGTTGGTGATGGAAGGGTTAATGTATTAGTTCTTGAGGGTTTGGTAATCTGTAAGTGGGAGTTCATGGGTGAAAGCAATTAGGGGTGGAGATGTGCAGGAGATGGGTTGCACCTAGGTGTTACTGGATTTAAGAAGCTAACCTTGAGACTTATCTTTGGGAGAAAAGTATCTGTTGCATTTTGGTGGTGGATGCTGCTGGTTTTTCCCCTTGGTCTGTTGGATTTTTGGTATCCTGACCTGTCTCCTGTAATTTTGGTGGTGGATGCTGCTGGTTTTCCCCCCCTGTTCTGTTGGATTTTTGGTATCCTGACCTGTCTCCTGTAATTTTGGTGGTGGATGCTGCTGGTTTCTCCCCCCTGTTCTGTTGGATTTTTGGTATCCTGACCTGTCTCCTGTAATTTTGGTGGTGGATGCTGCTGGTTTCTCCCCCCTGTTCTGTTGGATTTTTGGTATCCTGACCTGTCTCCTGTAATTTTGGTGGTGGATGCTGCTGGTTTTCCCCCCTGTTCTGTTGGATTTTTGGTATCCTGACCTGTCTCCTGTAATTTTGGTGGTGGATACTGCTGGTTTTTTCCCCCTGGTCTGATGGATTTTTGGTATCCTGACCTGTCTCCCGTAATTTTGGTGGTGGATGCTGCTGGTTTTTCTCCCTGGTATGTTGGATTTTTGGTATCCCAACCTGTCTCCTGTAATCTTGGTGGTGGATGCTGCTGGTTTTTCCCCCTGGTCTGATGGATTTTTGGTATCCTGACCTGTCTCCTGTAATCTTGGAACCCTGGAACCTTGAACCTTTGGACTGGCTTTTGACTACGGTATAGACTCTTGATCCCTGGACTCTGTTATTGAACTCTCTGTGTTTGACCACTGGACTGGACCCTTTTGACTACGAAGTTATTTTTGCTATCAGTTTTTGTTTATTCTGTAGCTGAGTGCTATCTTTGTGTTTTATATTTTGGTCTATTAAAACAGCGAGCAAGTAAGTGCTGTTTTAATTAAACTGTTTGATTCATCTCTACCTAAATAAGGCAGAGCCCTGGCAACGTGACACTTATCCGCGGGTAATGAGATATCTTGGACCCAAGTTCCAAACAACAGCATCTCTATTTATCTGTCCGAACGAATCTCCCCATATGAACCATCTAGGACCCTAAGATCGTCTGGGGAGGCCCTACTCTCGGTCCCGCCTCCATCTCAAGATGCGTTTGGTGGGAACAAGAGACAGGGCCTTCTCAATTGTGGCCCCTTGGCTGTAGATATTAGATTGGCCCCCCCTCTCTTAACATTTCGCAAAAAGGTTAATACCTGGCTTTTTGAGCAGGCATTTGCAAATGCAATGTAATCACGCAATGACAGACCTCGAAACGACTGACGATGCGATGGAATAGTGGTTTCAGTAAGGAGACACTAAGGATTTATGTTTTCACTAGCTGTCCCCTGATACACGATGATGTGGCCCACTCTGGTGGTCATGGAGATTCTGTGTGGGAGGTTTGGCCCAATTTTATCATTGGTCGGGATCAGAATGCTCTGTGATTGTAGGTGAACTACAAATCCCAGCAACTACAACTCCCAAGTGTCAAGATTCTATTTTCCCCCAAAACTCCACCAGTGTTCACATTTGGGCATATTGAGTATTCGTGTAGAGATCCATCATTGTTTGAGTCCACAGTGCTCTCTGGATGGAGGTGAACTACAATTCCAAAACTCAAGGTCAATGCTCATCAAACCCTTTCAGTATTTTTTGTCTCATGGGAGTTTTGTGTGCCAAGTTTGGTTCAATTCCATCGTTGGTGGGGTTCAGAATGCTCTTTGATTGTAGGTGAACTATAAATCCCAGCAACTACAACTCCCAAATGTCAAGATTCTATTTTCCCCAAACTCCACTAGTGTTCACATTTGGGCATATTGAGTATTTGTGTAGAGTTTGGTCCAGATCCATCATTGTTTGAGTCCACAGTGATCTCTGGATGTAGGTGAACTACAACTCCAAAACCAAAGGACACTGCCCACCAAACCCTTCCAGTATGTTCTGTTGGTCATGGGAGAACTGTGTGCCAAGTTTGGTTCAATTCCATTGTTGGTGGGGTTCAGAATGCTCTTTGATTGTAGGTGAACTATAAATCCCAGCAACTACAACTCCCAAATGACAAAATCATTTTTTTTAGTGAAGGACATACATTGGGTTGTTAGGTGTCTTGTGTCCAAATTTGGTGTCAATTCGTCCAGTGGTTTTTGAGTTCTGTTAATCCCACAAACGAACATGACATTTTTATTTATATAGATTTATGAATTCATGTTTTATATGCTAATGTTTCAAATTGTATTTAAATGTTGAGGGGCATCAAATTGTGCCGAATGTAAACCGCTTTGAGTCGCCTTCGGGCTGAGAAAGGCGGTATATAAATATGGTAAGTAAATAAATAAATAAATACCCCACTTTCAAGGAGGTCTTGCACCTCAAATCCCAGCAAATGTGAAAGACTGGTTGTAACTTCCAGTACCAATGGCGCACTGTTTCCCTCCCTTGTGCACCATTCTAGGTTGACTGCAGAAAGTGCATGAGATGAATGACAGCTCAAGGCAGCTCTGCTCTTGGGCGCATGCTAGTAGGAAAGGAATGGCGTAAACATCTCTTTCCTGAAGCCTAAACATGGAGGCGGTGGGTGCGGGAAGATTGCAGCACACGCTTTAGCGCTCCTGACAACGCCGAACATTTTTAGCACACGGTGATGCTCAGCGATGCTTGCATTCAACGAGGAGAAGGAGTCTTGAAGGATAAACAGAGACGGAGGAGAAGGCCAGACGAGTCCGAGGCCAACTCAGGTCATCCAGAAACTTCTGGTTTCTTACAGAGATCCCTTTCATGACTTTCTGATTCCTTAGGTGCATCTGCACTGCAGAATTAATGCAGTTTGGCACCACTTTAACCTCTGTGGCTCAATGCTATTTGTAGTGTAGAGAGGCTATTTGACAAACCTTGTAAAACTACAACTGTCGAAGGCTTTCACGGCTGGAATCACTGGGTTGTTGTGAGTTTTTCGGGCTGAATGGCCATATTCCAGAAGCATTGTCTCCTGACGTTTCACCTGCATCTATGGCAGGCATCCTCAGAGGTTGTAAGGATGCCTGACATTGATGCAGGCGAAATGTCAGGAGAGAATGCTTCCAGAACATGGTCATACAGCCCAAAAAACTCCCAACCACCCAAAACTCCAACTGCCAGGATTCCATAGCATTGAGCCATAGTTGCTGAAGTGGTGCCAAACTGCATTAATTTGACAGTGTAGATGCACTTCTTCTCCCATTTTCTAGCACACATTTCTAAGCAAACAGACCTTATAAAACTACAACTGTATTGTTGAAGGCTTTCATGACCAGAATCACTGGGTTGTTGTGAGTTTTTCGGGCTGAATAGCCATGTTCTGGAAGCATTCTCTCCTGATGTTTTGCCTGTATCTATGGCAGGCATCCTCAGAGGTTGTAAGGATGGCTGACATTGATGCAGGTGAAATGTCAGGAGAGAATGCTTCCGGAACATGGCCATATAGCCCAAGAAACTCCCAACAACCCAAAACTCCAACTGCCAAGATTCCATAGCATTGAGCCATAGTTGTTGAAGTGGTGCCAAACTGCATTAATTCGACAGTGTAGATGCACCTCTTCTCCCGTTTTCTAGCACACATTTCTAAGCAAACATTCAAGGATAACAACTGAGCAGCTTTATGTATGAATTATTCACAGCCTATGATTTAAACAGATGGGATAATAAGATGCCACACTGCAAAGGGAAACTATAATAGTAATGATAATAAGATGCCACGTTGCCAAAGGGAAACCATCCCATTTCTCTGCATTTCTCTCCTAACCTTTTGTCCTAAGTGCAAGGGAATCAAAAGGAAGCGACATTTATTTCTATCAGAATGATCCATAGTTTTTCATGCTGTATGTTGCTATAGCCAATATATTTCCTTTGCTGTAATCAATACTTGGAAACCATTTCAATGTGCATTGAGAATGCAGAGATGGTGGAGGAAGCGGATAGGAAAGCAATCAAATCATTTGAAACCCTGGTGGAGAGTTCTACGGACACGAAAAAGGCCGATAAATAGAGTCACGTAACCCTGAACTCACTTTAGAAGCCAAGAGACAACAGAAAAGACAATACTTTAAGGTAAGATGCTGTACAAAGCAGTTGGAAGAGAGGAAGCC